GGAGCCATAATAAGCTCCAGGGGAAAGGAATAAACCTGCTCATCACAACAAGAGGACAGAAACTTCAGTCTCATGTATCTCACACTTACTGTCCTGCTAGTTGTTGGGGTCTAATAGTGTTTAGGGACGTCAGCTGTTTCAAAGCATGAAATGTAATGGAAAGGTGGTAAAAACACACAAACAAAAACCCTCCGTAATTCCATTTCTGAATGAGGGAATTCTATATCTATGCTCAGTAGCTCTTCCTTTATGTTTCTGAGCTAAACTTTTTAAGACTAATTGACTCATGTACAGACTGGTAAGAAGGCAGGGAACAGTGATCTTTCAATAAGACAAGCATTCTGCAGTGTACACTGCGTGTGAAGGTGGTCAGAACCCTAGGAGATACTTATATTCTATCAAAATGCAGACTTTAAAACCAAATTTTACAATGATTAGACCTATTTCTGGAATGTTACTCACAAAAATAAAAGTACATTAAAAATCAGTTTTAACAGTTCCAAGCTTTTTACAAGTGTCATGTCAGTATTAACTCACAGAAGGAATTGTGCACATTATATTTCAAAAGTTATAAATAGACAAAATGAGAAAATGTCTGTTTGAACTTCCCAAGATAACTATTAAAATGCTTTCGGATATTTCAGTATAAGATAATGTATAGAAGGACTATTACCTGCTCTCTAACTATATTTTGTTTATATGATAACTGTTATATTATCTGCTATTGTAATTTTGTTTTCACAAGTATAATTCAGTATGTAATATGTTAAATTAAGAGACGCTTTATTAAAAAAAAAAAAAAAAAGGATTTAGGGCATACAGATACCAAGCACGATCTTTAGGATGAGGCCTGTTACTGTTTGCCTTAAATTTTCTGTGTTGCACATCTCACTGTCTAAATCTTTTCATGTTCTCCAAGTAACTTGAGGTTTGAGCTTAACTGTGTTTTGGTGGTGGTGGTTGTTTTTTGTTCGTATGTTTGTTTTGGTGCTAGAATAGTATAAATAAAATTATTTGTCATAGAAATCAGTGAACTTACAAACAGATTTATGTCCAAAATGTTAGAGAAACAAAACATGGAGTGACATGAATTTAGTGAGGTTAAGAACTTCCAATATTTAATTACCCCTTTTAAAGTAAAAAACTTTGTAATCCATATTTTCTTTTCTATATTATAGCTAATCACTAGGTAGTACCTCTTCACATTAACTGGATCTGTACATTCATGTTAAGCTGAAAATAGAGTACTCAAATGATTTTACAGTTTTCTTGACTTAGGAAAAAGCATGTTCATTTCTACAGCAAATGTAATCAGTATTAATCTTCTTTTTTTTTTTTTTTTTTTTCTTTTACTTTTACATGGTTAATTTAGAAGCATACTCACACTATACAGAAGTAAATAATGCACAGTCACAGAATAAATGTAAAAATGTAGAACATATCTTTTATCTATACTGCAGTATTTCTTTCTATTGTCTTCTCTTAACAGAAAGGAGGAAGCATGAAAAGAAGTTCATTTCTGATGCCAGGAGTTAAAATGATTACAAATAAAATTATTATTGCTCATAGACTTTAAAATTAAAATGAATTTATAAGTACTTTATAAAGAGTTAATATGCTTTTAATAGGTTCTGTGCTAAAAGCTAGTACAAACTAGAAAAAAATTGAGTCGATGCAGGCTGGCAAAGCATGAAAAAGTTTAGAATTCTAAATAATCTTAAGAATTGTTTTGCCATTTATTAAAGCATTACTCGTGGTGCATTAGCCCTTTTAATGCTAATGCAAGCCTACTAAATGCAACCATCCTCACTGTGTTAAGCACTGAGTTTCTGCCAACATGTAAATCCCCTGGAGCAGTTCTCTGAATGGCACTATCAAGTCATCCCTGTCACTCACTAGTCTCAGCTGTCATGTTGGCTGACAGCACGGTGTGACAGCAGCCCTCCAGGCTGGCCTCGGCTGGATGGCTATGCCTGCTCGTCATGGTCCACGTGCTGTGCAAAAAGCCACACAGCCAGTATTAAAAGCTACAGGAGCCAACCTCATACAAATGTCTCTAGAAAGTGTTTTACCAAGAATTTGCTCAGTATTTCATTTGCAGAAATACCCTTTTATCCACAGGTAAACACTGAGACTGTTTTCAATGAGTTTAAAGTCAAAACCATAGTGCCATCATGGCACAAGAATAATGCCAGTCACAATGCAAGATTACAGGCTTTCACACTTGCACACAAATCACTAGTGGAAAATGCCAGCAATGACTGTTAGTTTATATGGGCTTCCAGACACATTGGGAAACAGCTGATCGTATTTAATTCACAGTCCCTGATCCTGTAACTGAAGGCCTCTGGTTGCACAGAGGCTGAGTTTATCAGCCTTCTGAGTTTACAGCATAATTCAGTTGGACCTGATTTTGCAGGTCCACATGAACTGGAAGAAACAATTCATCACAAATTTAGAAACCAACTGAAACAGATCACTAGCTAATGCCTTTTAGTCTTCTGTGGAGAAAAATAAAAGAAAGATTAACCTGTAATGACATTTCTATCCACTTTTGATGGATAATTTGCATTTTCCTGTCAAATCTCGTGACTTGCACTGTGTGAGCAAATGTTATTGCACGTGGGATACACAGTCATTTGCTTTAGGACAAACTCAAATAGATGTTCATAGGAAGAACAATCTGTAAAAGGCACTGGCTAGCCACACTCAAGCTCAAGGAATGAATTTGCTAGTCATAGTTGCATATTCCCAGTTTAGAGTAGACTAGGGATAACACAGCCTTAAGAAACATCATGTTATAGAGATATATAAACAAAGTTACATTAAGATTCACATTACATGCTTCTTTTGTACCTTCTGTTATTTCAGGAAATCCCATCCTCTTTCCTAAAGGGACCTATGTCCCGCTTCCAATGTGGATATAATCACAGAAACCAAACCATCTCATATGCATAGCTGGTATTCTGAATGCCTTCAACTGGTCCCCACCCAAACATCACTAGACTTGAAAAACCAAAGCAAAATCAATCTTATGTATCTCTGAACTGCAAATGAATGCAAAAAATACTAGGTTTTACAATACCTTTAGATGACTAAATTTAGATGTCAATGTTTTTGAAATGCCTGTTCGTCCCTTGCAAAAACAGTAAGACAGAAATGCAGAGTAGTCTCTTAAGAGCCATAGGTACTAATAAGCTAGGTGGCCATACTGAACACATAACTGAGCGTCTCAGTCTAAAAATACCAGTATCAAAAATCAAATGTATGGTTTAGTGTACCTAAAGAACAAAGCATTGTTTCAAAATAATGATGCTGTTTATAGGACTATAAAATAATATATATGCACATTATAAATGTTCTTTAATTTCACAGATGTGATTTTATTCTATTCTAACCATCACGACTCATATTTAAGCATTACAATATACAGAAGAGAACTAAATGAAAGTCTGTCGAGATTCGTATCACATTTTTATAATTATAAGGCACTATAAGTATATATTAATATTAGCATGAAAAAATCTTAGTTATAGTCAATACTAAAGTAGGTGATTGCATATTCAAACAATGATGATTCTTATGACACCCCACTAAAGGGTTCAAAGAGCTACCAACAGAAAATAACATTCTCAACATAAAACAACTGAAGGGCTATTGGTGAACATTAGATTACGGTATGGTCATTCCATACTCATGTGTCCCCTGGCATGTTCATTAGATACTCAAATCTATAAATCTTCAAAATAGCTTTTACAAAGGGCTGTGAGCACATCAAAAGCAAGATTTTCTTTATATCTGAACAAAAAGGGACTAAAAGCACATCCCCCCCAGAAAACTCCTTTGAAAAAGAACAAAACCATCATATTTTCAAGACCATTCTACTGCAGCAGAGTGAATGCCTACCACAATGTAATACCACTTTCTTCATCTGACTTAAGCACCAACAAATTTGTAAGATAGACAGAAATAAAACAGATAAGGATAAAGAAGAGCATTTAAGTATTCAATTTTAACAGTACTTCTGGACTCTAAGTGGAAAAAAAGATATGCCATAGAACAACTGAATTCTAAATCAATATGACACCCATATTTCTGTGCAAATACTGGTATTCTTCATAACCCCATTTTGCTATTATGAACACACAAATGTTCATACATAAAACAGTATGAAAGGAGATGTTTGTCTCTTCTGGGTTATTTTTGTCTCCAAACACAAATATACGTGTTTTGGGAAGTATAATTCCCACCAGCTATAAGAGGTCATGTTTCATCTAGTGTAAGTGGAAGAGTATGACTGTAGTAGATCAACAATAAAATGTGAATCTTGGTATTGAGCAAATATATAATGTTCACCTCTGTGCTGAAATAAAAATACCTACAGGGTTCGTTTTTTTTTAAATATGATAAACTAGAACAAATTTAATCTGATGACTTCAGGATGGTTTGGAGGCATTCTTGAGTTCATGTCATTATAATCATGGAAAATAGGGACTCTGCAGCTACATCTTGACCTAAGATGCAATGTATCAGTGAACTGGTACATGACCCCTTCTGCTTTTCATCTGCAGAGGATACAAACTGTGCTGTTAAACTTGAGATTCAGCTGTTTGACTTCTCAGCTCCCGCAGGTTCCTTTTCAGTCCTGAGTTACTTGGAAAAACAGTTATTTTCCCATTATACTGAACAGCAGCAGTACAACTGCTGGGCCCTACTAGAAGCTACTGAGTTCAGAATCATCATTAGATAACACTTCAAATATATGAAGGCTTTAAAGTCAGATGCCCAATCCTACTCAAGTTCTTAAATCCTCTGTGTCATTCAAAATACAAGCTACAAAATGCAGATATTTTCTTTGCTGATTGTTTGTTTAGCCTAACACAAACCATCCTCTATTCATACTATTTACATGTGCAAAAGGAATCACTCCATCTGCCCCTTGATACAGAAGCCACTCATCATTTACTTCATCATTTGGAAAAAAGTGTAAACAAACCAACCTGTTTAGCCAACTGATCCTTCTTCACCAAGCCAGTGGCTGCAGCAATGTTCCCTGCACCTTCCACTGTCTTCTGGGCCACTGCCGTCACTCCTGTCACCACAGCTCCCCCAACATTAGATACTTGCTCTTTGGTCTTCTCAGCCACTGAGGAAGCAGAAGACAGAAAAACGCATTACACCTCTGGGAACTTTAAGTTACTGACGTTTTCAGAGAGTCATATTTATGACTAACAGCTCGTTGTCATGAAAAACCATTGGGCCATTACACTGTGTGCACCCCAAGTGGATCTTCAGAAATGAGACTCTCAATCTGATCATACTGGAGCAGCAAAGGTAAAAATAAGCTTCATCTGTAGCTCAATTTCTTTCATGTGAAAGACATTCAACATATGCATTCACATCTAGCCATACTTTAGGGAAGAAAACTCATTACTCAAGGGCCCTGACTATGCCCAGCTCACTGTGCAATGTATAGTAATCACATTCAATATAGCAGTTTGGAAATGCATTCCAATTAGTTCATCAAACACACTTGCTGCATGTTACAGGGCATGGAAGACACTTTATACTTTAGACACAAAAGCTATTGATTATTCTTTTTATTTATTTATTTATTAAATATAAGCTTGATTAATAAGCAGAGCTACTGTTGCTTGACCAGAGAATTTCTAATACAACATCTTATCTGACTTTCTGAGATTTCTGCCCAACAGCTGATGTTTCCATCCATAACATACTAATCTACAAAAAGATTGAATGCCAAAAATGCCAAAGCAAACTGGATTAATAGCTCACTTCAAAGCCCCAGGGAAACAACAACTCATTTAGCCTACATATACATCAGTGGTTGCCTTTCTACTTTTCAGAGTATTACTGAATTCTTTCTGCTCATTCATTCCCAAGTGCTCTTTCCTGCCAGAAGCTTGTGCTCTAGTGAAACCACTCTAAGAGTAAAGAGAACAAATGACTTCATGCCTTCAAGTTACAGGGCCAGATTTCAGGGAAAAGGAAAAACAAACAAACAAAACAAACAAACAAACAAAAAAACCATTTATTTACCTAAACAAAGAACTGTTCTTAAAAAACATCCTGAACACAGCTTTGTAATTCCAACTAATCTTATATTTTCCTCCAGACAAAATTCCATCTGACCCATAAATTGTATTCATAGCTCTAGTTACACCCCTTGTGAGCGCAGGCTGGATTTTACTTAGCAGACAGGCAACCCTTTCAGAGACTGCTTTTGGAAACATATACTAAGAGATGACTTTCTATAGATAAATTAGATTTAATTCCTGATAGAATTTCTTATCAGCTGTCCATATCAGAGGGCATGCTATATTGCTATAATTGACATATAAAAATAGTCTGTTCCAAAGATCTTTCAACATATACATGTTAATAATATACAAATTGGCAACAAACATCATTGTATCCATCCAGTATTCTAACCCCACACTTTTTCCAGAAAAAAGTGCGTTTTGCTGAAAAACAAACATCATCCTCAGGGAAGGTTTGATTTAGTGCTAGCAGGTGCAAGATAGCATTTGTGAAGATCCCACATTTGATTATTACCAGCTACAGAGTACAAAAGCTCAGGATTCTACAGAAGTCTCTATAGGAAGTTTTTCACCAGTTCTTGAAAATGCTTGTCTTAAGATCTTTGTTCTAGTAACACATTATAACTTTCAGATAACATTAAGATCTAAAATTGTGCATTGAGTCTTTCAGAAACAAAATGAATAGCGTGCTGAGATGGAAATAGGTACTGCTTCCATATTATTTAGAACGGTAGAAAGAAATCTCAGAGCTATGTAAAAAAGCAGTACATTGCAAAAATATGTGTTAAAGTACTATTCTCCAAGAAATTAACAACAACAAAACGGTAAATGGAGAGGGGAATTTTGAATAAGTTTCACTCTTGCTTTTCATTTCTTATTGTAGTGGGTTTATGTGGCAAGGTTTGGGGTAGCAGGGTCCATCGGGGTGGCTTCTCTGAGATGAATCCAGAAGCAGCCCCATGTTAGATAAGGGGCTCGCTGCTGGCCAGAGCCAAGACAACAATTGATGTTGTTTGTGCCTGCCTCTGTGGGAACAGATTTAAGAAAGGGGAAAAATAAATAAACAAACAAACAAAAAAAACAAACTGCTGCACAACAACAGCTAGGAGAGTGAGGAGCGAGAAGCAGCCTTGCAGACTCCAAGGTCAGTGCACAAGGAAGGCAAGAGGTGCTCCAGGCATGCAGCAGCAGTTCCCCTGTAGCCTGTGGAGAGGCTCCTGGTGGAGCAGGCTATATAAATCAAGATCCTTTGTGTGTGTGTGTGTGTGTATATATATATATATATATATATATATATATATATATATACACATATATATTACGTATATACATGTATATATATTCTTTTTTTTTTTTCCTCATTCCTGTATGGAAGTGATATATGTTTTTTGAAAAATTCTCCCTTTTTCCAAAATGCCTCAAATGTCAGAACTTTTAAAAACAAACAAGTTCAGAAGGTTTGATATTGGCAGTGGCTCACATGCTCAGCTGATCTGAAGCAGACTCCTCCCTCTGACAAAGCACAATTGCACTATGCTTCATTGTCAGTAGTCATAATTAGTGTCATTATCTTAAGATCTTCAAAAAGTGCACCTCAAAAGCCATGTATAAAGAAATAGAGTGAAATTTGGTGCACCATAGATGCTTCAGTTCAGCTGCAATATAAAATGCCCGATTACTGATGCCAATATTAAAACCACATTTCTCATACTACGTTGTCATGGCAAGTATGACCACCTACCAAGCTACAGTTCCTGCTATCAGTATGTTTTGGGAAAGCTCTTTCTGAAGTCTGTTTTTTCCTACCAGAAAAAAGATTTCTCTAGGAAAGGCTTAATACTGCACACAAAACAACAAACAAAACAAACAAACAAACAAGAATCAGGTCATTAACGCTGTTACTGGCCTTACTGTGGAAGAAGGGTGCAAAGAGGGATCGATGGTCTTTTCAGTGGTGTTCAATGCCAGGACAAGAGCTGATGGGCACAAACTGGAACACAAGAGGTTCTACCTAGTCTAAACACCAGGAAGCACTTCTTCACTGTGCAGGTGTTGGAGCAAGGGAGCAGGTAGACCAGTCTCCCTTCTTGGAGATCTTCAAAAGCCACCTGGTCATGGTCTTGGGCAACCTGGAAGTTGGACCAGATGACCTGCAGAGGTCCCTTCCAACGTTAACCATTCTGTGATTCTGTAGGAATCACTGACCCACACTGTCACCACTAAGAGAAGCTGCTCAACAGCTAGACAGCCGTATTTTTAAGGAAAGCTGCATACAAGAGACAACTAACTTGAAGTGGTTCTGCCCTGAAAGAATAAAGCAAGCTGTTCTATGTAGAAAAAGAACAAAGAGTGGCATCTAAGCAGCATCTTCCAGCTCAAAACTGCAGCTCCTACCTAAGTGGTTCTGCCAAACACAGATTTAGGTATTATTCTTAGCTGAAAACTTCAGCAAAAGTGAGGGCCTCAAATTAAATTTGGGTTTAAGTTTACAAGCCTGTCTATATATAATTTAAACTCTGAGGCTTTCTAAGTGTCTGAAGATGCTAACAAGTTCCTACTATGTCATGTATCTCATAAGAACTTATCATTGGGTACCAAACCAATAAGCTGGCTTTTTAGTAAGATACTGTCTTTCAGAAATCAGAGTCATTAAGATAAATCCAGAAAACTATACACATAGCACAGATCTGCAAAAGCACTAATACTAGCAGGAGAAACTCTACTTTCCTATTTCTAAGGAATAGGAAAACATCATCAAAGTTCTATTACCAGAGTGATTCTGTAAATAAGCTCCAACTTTGTAAACCTTCAGCTCTGTAACCCTAATAACAAGAGAAGGAAAAACAAAATAGGTTTCCAGTCTTATGTGTTTTATTGATTACACTAAGTAGTATCAAGGGAAAAGCATTTAATGCACACAAACAAATCAGTTCAGAATGCAGGGAGTTAATACCAACTAATTAAATTAATCTGAATACTAGGTTGTTTAATGATCTTAAGCCATTAAGTCTTTGTAAAGTTGATGTCTGCTTTGTATCACAGTGCTGAGAAACAGAGGAAATCAGCTTCTGTAAAGCTTGACTCTGCTATAGCCCGACTACTTGTGTCCACCTGTGGAGTAAGTGATCTGGAATGGTGTACAAAGGCTAACATTGAAATAGAAGTTCTAATACTGACTATAGCATACTGCAAAAATTATTGGCTTTTAAGGTTTCTTTGTCCCTGCTTGTCATAGATAACTGGGTAATACAAGCTTTTAACATTAAACTTCTAGAACATTTCAAAATGAGAACTTGCTGCTTTCTACTTTGAGCACTAGATGTAGATGAAAACTGCATGCTTTCTCTGGATTAATAACATTATTCTGACTGCACTAAATACACTTTTGAATATTAATTTTAGATGATCATATTGCCTCAGGTACTTGAAGAATTCATTTACAAAGAAGCCATAAGTATGTTGTGAGTTCTTTAATTTATTCATTCACTATAAGACACCTGGTAAAGTTAAAACAAATGCAACTGGAATACCAATGACTAAGTATATTAAGGAAAACAAACAAACTAAAATCACAAGAATGATCAGATAAAAGAATTAAGAAAAAGGTTCACTACGGTTCATAGCTGTTGAGACCACGCCCTCATTTCACTTCAGGAAACTGACATCTGCTTGAAGTACTGAGTTAGGGGTTTTTTTCACCTTGAGCTTTCCACAAACCATTGCTTTTCTTTGGCTATTAGGATATGCTCTGTAAATATTCCATCTTTGAAACTGTACATTTGTAGCCGTTTATCCCTGGGAGATGAGCAAGATGGATGAATTACGCACAGTCAAAGAAAATGGATAAATTATTATAGCCAAAGGCCAGTAGACATGTTAATTAGATAGGCTAGTCAGATAAACAAGCTAACACCCCGTAAGACCAAAAAACGACATTTCTTCCTTTACAGAAGTTCTGAGAAAAGGCAACCTGACAAATAGCATGCTCTCTGTATTCCTGTGAATCACAGCCAGGCATCCTCATTTTAGTGTCTTGATGCAGCTAAGCCTAGTGCAATCGGGTCATACCTTAAAACAAGGAACTCCTCAGTCTAGTATTCCTGAGTTTGGAAAGTCCCTAACTGAAAAGCATATTTAGTTGTTCAGCACTTTGAGGTGTGTCAGTACCCTTACCAGCCAAGGGTTTTACACCATAAACTATTCAAAAATAGCAAAACTAGCAGGACCTTAGAGCTCAAACAGTAAGAAATGGTTGATTGAATAACTGTCAACACACATTTATTTGGATCTGTGATTCTAGTTCACATTTGACTGTCTCTAGCCTCTTGAATCATTTTTCTGCATGTAACAAAATGTGTTTGCACTTCAGGTTTCACATATCAACACCCTAGAGCATCATAAGATCACCAGAACTGGCAAACTTCTAGTCCTATGAAAAAAAGACAAGTAGGTCTTTGTAAGTATCCTAAAAGACAGTTAACACAGCAACTTTAAAAGCATTTATAGATTTATAGGACAACTTCACTAGCATTTCTCAGTGTCTTTACATTATATCTCAGAGCATCACAACAGTGAACCCAAATCTTTTTCCACTTACCTCCTCTGCTTTCCAGAACAACTCATAGATTTGCTTTATGCATTTATTTTAAAATATGTCTAAAAATAGAGCAATTCCTCTATTCTTTTACTATCAAGCCCATACTGTTTCATTTTAGAAATTATGCTCTTTAGATTTTGCATTAGGTCCCTTCTCCTCACTGCCACATATCAGTCTGCTCTCTATCCATTTTCATTCAACAGCTAAACTCCTTTCAGCCAGTTTAATGGGCCAGAATTATTGAAGTTGTGGCACAACTTTGAGAACATTATTCTCAAGCTTTGGGTGTTTCACTTTGAGTCACCTTTTTCCTAAAGTGGAAGAGGAGCTTTTTGCCTAAAACAAATTTTGCTTTAAATTCTCAGTAACGTTGTTGAACATTCTATTCATAGTTGCAGTACAGAACAGATGTGTTCTCCTTATGTTTTGCTTTGTAGTCTGTTTTATATCTTGCAGAACAAAATTTAACATCTTTTCAAAAACTTTGTTCTCCTACCTAAGATTTCCTGTCTTGCTCCACATATTACAGCAGATCAAGATGGAAGGAAAGAACTCCCTCAGTAAGCTAGCCTGGTAGAGAAACCCACCTCTTCAGCAAGTTTCACACACGTGCAAATTGCCTTGACTTTTATTCTAACACAAAGCCCAGCTTAGTTAACATCACCTCTATTAACTTGCTTGCTAGTGCTATCCACTGCTGTTCCCACATCTGTGATAATATGGGATATATATGCCTCAAATCTCATTCTAATGCAATCATCTACTGGTTACAGTAATGATCCCTCTGAGTATTTCTCTTAATTGAGGTTTACCATTATGAGATTTCAAACCTCGCAACAAGAGCATAGATCTGTTTAGCCTGCAGCTAAGTTCTGAGGGCCTGTGAGGGATGTTCCGATCAGTTTTGTTACTAAAAATACTACTGGTTTATTTCTCAACTCATTATTTGCATTGTGATATTTTGTACTGCCAAGTTAAGTCCAACTACCGTTGTTTATCTTTGGTATTGGCCTGTGTGAGCACAGATGAATGACACACTGGTTGTACCCAAATCAAAAGAAAGAAGAAATCCTTTTCTAATCCCACTCTCATTTGTTTTCTATTTTCTTAAGGCAAAAACACCTTCAATTTCTTGACCAAGCATCTTCTTCACATCTCTAGATGTCCCATAATCTATAGCAGAAGATTTCACATTTGACTCTATGCACTACGGTCAGCTCAGGTTTTCCTTCACTCTGTATAGATATAAGGCTTCCATTAATTTTGCCACCCACTTATCACTCCGAATTATTGGTTAGTTGTTTCAGTTCTTATCTAAAATGAACCTTGCAAATCGATTTGAAATGCAAATTTACTCTTTTTCAATGTAGAAATACGAATGTGAACATATATGCCCAGCATTAACTTCAAAGTTTCAAAGTGTTGTTGCTACTGAGAAATTATGCAGTTCTAAAAAAAATAAAATAAAAAATATATACAAAAATGAAACCTTCATAACTGTGACAAATTCAAATTAGTTTATCAGAATTCTGAAATGTGTTTCTTTCCTGTAAGCTATTTCCCTCTTTTCTTCCCACCCAACCAGTTCCAGGGAGACATATTAATAAGTCACAAGAATCTTTCAGGAATGGAAGGAGTGATGGGGCACGTCCATACTGTCATTGTAGCATGACTTTACCTGAAACCACATTATTTGTAGATCTCAATCAAGGATGAAGAACCACTAAGAATACCACTGATATTCAGGTATTACGTTCAAGTGGAATTCTCTGCTGCCACAGATACAGCCGTAGTATAGTTATACTATACTACAGTTATACTTAGCTATACTAGAGGCAGCCAGCTTAATGGTAGCTTGGGTATAATCATGCAGGCTGCAGATAACAGCAGTGATTACACTGCAGAGCTGTTAATGACTGCAGAGGTGAAACTCCATTTTGCATCACTGTTTCACTGTGGATAGTCAAAAAGACAGGCATGGACAAGCTACTGACACTGCTGTTTGCCTTAACTGCAAACACTCACAGTGATTTTTCCTTTCTACCCAGCTCTTACAATCCTATCTGTATAAAGGAGGTTCCTTCCACAACTATTTTCCCTCCTTCACATATCGCCGTAGTTCCTGTCTGTTCCACAAGCATCAGTCCTGTCTGACTGTTTCTATGAAGTCCTAAAGCAAGAGATTAAAGTCCTCCCAACATATGTCCAAGTCCCTACACACTTTGCCTTCCATATTCCTCCTTTAGTGGCATTCCTCCACTCCCACCTCCAGACACCACTGTTCCTCCTCAGATCACAAGGAGACAGACTTGTGCATAGTCTGTAAGAAACCAGCCTTTCTGTTTCTACAAGAAGTTCTTCACAGGAAAAAAAATGCAATAATTATTTTATGCCAACTAGTTCATAACTTTCTGGCATCAAATATTTTACCTTTGGCAATAAACAAAGAACAGAAAGACCCTTGATTTTTCTACTTCCACAAACACACACTATTTCCTCCTGTTAAGGAATCTGGTTTCATTAGCCTCCTGGCTCATCCTGGTATTACTTGACTTCAATTCAGAATATTGCTCAGAAAACTCTCCTCACACATAAACAGCTATATTAAATATACATTTTCAACTGTAAAACTTTATGCATTTTTGAGAAAATGAACGTTGCTTTCTGCCTCTCAATTTGACGATATTTTTCCATCCTTCAAATATTGGAGTGCTGTCAAAGAAATACACCTAAATTTTTAACAGATAAATGGTTGGTTAAACAGAAATAGGGAAGCAGTTGAAATTGAGAGATAATTATCTTACCTGTTGTGACACCATGAACAACTCCTTCCTTGGTCCTGGAACCTAAACAGAGAACAATATTAGGTTGAAAATATTTGTTCTTAAGTACTGGTAAAGATAACATGGATAATAAAGCAAAGTGAATAGATAGATTACATACAGTTGCACACAGCATTTCCTAAAATGATTAAAATTAATTCAAGTGAAATTAATTCAAGAGATATTTAATCTAATGGAAAGGCCAACACTATCAATGAAGAGCAACTGTGTGAATGTAGATTGACTATAGAAATGAGTAACACTGGAAACACTGCTGCAGCTTATTTCTTGTACATTTTGACTTCATTGTCATTCTTTTAATAGTCACATTAATTAAGCCTGCCATTCTGTAAACTAACATGGACAACTCTGCACAGAAGTCATCTTACTGTTAACATTCTAATGAGACTCGTGTATGCATTTTTATAAGATTAGAGCCAAAGTTCTCAGAAGATCCTTATTACTTCTTGTAATAACTCTTACTTAGATCTTGGTTTGCAGGGGTTAACAAGCACTACTGAGCCTGTGGAAAGACCCAGTGGTTAAAATCATGGGGAGCTTGTAGGATAGCCAGATTTAGACAGAAGGAATCTGAAAGGGACATATAAGGTAGTAGACAGTTCTCAAACATGAAAATGCCACTGGAGTCAAAGCCAAGGTCTGCCTAATTCAGTTTGTTTCCTTGTCACAGAAAAAACAATCAACATAAAGACTCTACAGACCAAAATCTAGAACTTGTGCTGTACTCAGATATAACGTAAGACTTGTGTGAGCAATGTAATTCTGAAGCCAAAACATATTCTGGAATGCCTATGTGAAAGTATCATGATAACACGACTTGAAAAAAAAAAACACCAAACAACTATCAGAAGTTACCTTATTTGTTATACAACTTTTAGTTTGTATGCCATTCAGTATTTCAGATATCATAATTTGTGGTTCTGACTTTACACTTCCAATCTCTATAAAATTTTAGCATTATCACTATGTATAAATATAAACATACACAACCTGCTATGAGCAGAAATATATTAGAAGATAATAATAAATCAACATAAACGTATTAGAAGAAAAAATACTTTTTCCACAATTCTATATAATACAATTAAACACTGAAATAACATACAAGCTCATTCATCAATGTGTCTTATTTGCTGCTAGTGCCAACTTGTAGAGCTTAAGCCATGGCTCTATCAGATTGGTTACAGCATTGAAAAGGCTCTGTTATCTATGAGCAAGAGCATTATACCATTATAAAAAATAAAAAATTGTTGCATCAAGTAAAATGACTTCCTCTTCTTTAGCTAATGAAGAGGATAAACAGTTGAGAAATCTTCCTTCCTCCTTATTTTGATTTTCTCTTTAAAAAGCAGTAGCTTGTTTTCTATCAGTGCAAATATTTACCACTGAACGAGACATTAGTTTTATTAAATACAAGGTAATAGTGTCTAAGGACTTGTTTTAGAATTTTGATTCTCAATCTGGCAGCACCATGGGAGCAGAACAAGCACAGTACTTCAAACACATACTGGAATACGAGCAGATGACTAGTTCTACTGACTGCTAGAAAGAGACTAAACACCATTTTAGGCTTACAACATGTCTGTTGGAATGTTTGACATTGAGGATGTACTTTTAACTTTGTTAGATCTGACCAAAACCTCACTCATCTTGTTGAAGTTATTGCCTGCAATCCAAGCCATTAGCAAATCCAAACCTGTGAATAGCAAGTATGCAGTTCCCTAGGGCTGAGATGGATGAGGGTAAGAGATTGATGACATGACAGAACTCCCTGGGGCCTTCTGCAATGCATGTATCTCCAAGGAACATCCACAATTGATTATTATTTCGTGTAAAACTGCTATATCACAGCTAATCTAGAAACGCTAGTCTCTTTGCATTGATAGGCTTTGTTTTAGTGAAAACACAACTTGCAGACCTGTATAGGACACACACACACACACATATGTGTGTAAATAACCAGCTAAGCAGTGGTCCAGACCTCACAGCATACATTAGAGCTAAGCATTATTTGTCCCTCTACTGCACACTTACGTGGAAGTAGCTGTTTCTCCAGTTAGAGCTACAACAGGACCTGTAAGTACATTGGGACTTGACAGAACTGGCCTATAAACGCAACAGCTGAATTTGGTAGGATGGCTTCTGGCTAGGAACAAATAAAAGCTGGTCATCCACATAGTTTCTCGTATAAACTGTCTTTCATGCTGCCATTTCCAAAACATTGACAATCTTTCTCTTTATACCATGCATAAAAGAAAGACTGCCTATGGCAGAGGGTTTGGAACTAAATGATCTTTAAGGTCCCTTCCAATCCAAATCATTCCATGATTCTATGATTGGAAGAATCAGAATATGGGTAATATAAAAACCAAAAAAAAAACACAACTGACACTGACCAGCACTACTTGGGTGAATCAAGAGCAATAGATGTACATGCAATGCTACTTTTCCTTGCTATAATGCACAATTGTGTGAGCTGGAGGGAACCAAATCCCCATTTTTTGCCTTTTTGTAATTATCCAAAATACAACAGCCTCTCTTCACTTCATTATTTATCATGATCAGTATCATTATTCCAAAAAAGAAAGCATCTATCAGCAGTTTGGCAGTACACTCATTTCTGGGCCTTCTGAGAGATGAGCAGAATATTCTAAGCAAGCCTTTACTGAGATTCAGGCCACTTAGTAAGAGCTTGATGAAGACAGGGAGACATAAACCCAAATTAGGGGAAGAAAAAGTCATTGTCTAAGGAAAATACTTGTTCACAAGTACTGAAGCCCGTTATTCCACCAGATGGACCTTGAGTCCCATTTACTACTCTACCAGCTGCCATTACCAAAGGAAAATAAGAAATCTTAAGAAAACAAAGTGCAACAGAGGAATTTGGATGGTCTTGCCAAACAGGTCACGACTGTACTTATCTACTCTAAGGGCAGTTAATACAGGATATAATAAATTCTTCTGTTACCCATTCCTCACCTGATAAGCTATTTCTCCATTCTGCTATGATTTATAACAGCCAAAACGATCAGATTGGAAACTTTCATTCCTGAGAACTAAACATGCACTCAGGAGTCAACTGAGTACAAACTGTAGCTCCCCAGTACCAACACAGAGCTCAAATGAATTATTTAGCAGTATATCACTGATAGCATGCAAGAGCATTATCCTCACTCACAGTTCCTGGTTTCAAAATAAGCGTGGGTAGGCATTGCCACTCTTCCTTACCGCATCGCACCAACAAGTTTTGAAAGATACATGGAGACCCAGTTCTGAATTTATGGCATTCATGATCCAGCACAAGACTGCTGAGTTGCTGTCCTCCTTTCTAATTAGTGACAAGGTGCTTCTTTGACATAGAGAAAAGTCCTGGTGCTGCACTGGCCACTACAAAGCCACTGCATTTCAGCTGGCCAATGCTTAATTACATCAGCAGAGGAAATTAGGAAAAAAGCTAACTGAAAGCATATAAGCACACTATAGACCGCACTGAACTGTCTGTATTGACTGTATTAGGTATTTTTTAGGTTATTAAAAAGCACGACAAACATGGTAAGAGGGAAGAAAACAGACTTCTACATGAAAAAGAGAAAGAATCCAAAGTATATCCTTCAATAGACACCCCCAGAGCAGTAGTTTTCCCCTTTGCAAAAGGGAACTTCCCTCCCCCCCCCCAGTGACCACATTTGATTCTAGCTTTTGTTAATAGACCTGTATTACGTAGAAGTATGCTTCAGCCTTTTAGTTTAACCATATAGCTAACCTTAACCCAGACAGAGAGGTCCAGATGTTTTCATTATTTACTTAAATAACACTCTTAAACTCCTCAAATTCTACTAATAAAATTCCTCTCTTAAATGAAAGACCATCGCACCTTGGGGTGCCAGCAATTTTTATTTTATTAATTCTTTAATCACAGTGGAAGGCTGAATGTCATAGAGGTGACTGTCAAAACTGAAAATGATTAGCAGGTCCCTCTTAGCCCAGTTTTGTCAGGCTCTTCTTTGCAAGATGTCAAGTAGCTTTCACAATCTGGCTGTGAAATTTGTATCTGAAAATCCACCTACAAAGGCAAGGAGAGAGAAACCTTTAGAAGCCCTAATGCAGTACCCTGTTCCTTCCCTGTGATTATAAAGGGTTTTCACCATCTTTCAGGCTGCAACCATTATCAGCCTACAGAACCAAGAGATTATCACATCTGCCTTTGCTAATGCTGTTCAAGAGATGAGTTGCCCCTGCTGTGTGCTAGGGAAGCAGAAAGAGATATACCCAGTTCAGAAATTGAAGGGTGTTCAGGGCAGGCTGAAAATGCTGCTTTGGCAGGGAGCATAGGGATGCGACCTACTTTCAGCTGGCCTCTGCTAGACCCAAGCCCTCACAGAAGTCCCCTAACACCACTACAACACTTCAATGATTTCTGCTCCGATGTTTGCTCTCTTAGTTTTATTTCTGGCTTTTCCATTTACAGCTGGAAAACCTGAGGAAGCAATAACCCAGCAGGCTTATCACTGTGGTCCATATCCTATCGCTGATTGTCTTGAAAATTCCTCTATGGAAGCTGGCTTGCTAGACCCAGGCACACACCCAGACAGATTACCTGCCAGAAATCTGGGGAAGAGCTTCCGATGTGATGAAAGAAAGGCTCTTTTGCCTGCATGACTGAAACTATGCATATAGCTCTTTCCTCCTGAAAAGCAACCATCTGCTTCAGGAAGGGTCCTTCACCATTACTGCAGTCACATGCACAGACCTCTATTATGGCTTAGGGCTCTGTTGTCTTATTGTTTTTGGAATAAATAGCAAACCTGCCCTCCAAAGTTCAATCTCATAAAAATAGGAAACCTGTTGCCTTTGGGAGGAGAACTAGGTTCAGACGTTACCGTGATCAGGAGAACATGTCAGGCACAAAGATTATTTCATACACAATGCAGGTTTTTAATACAAAGAAATCAATGAGTCTAAAAGCATGTTCAGGAATGACAAGAAAATTAAATTAAAAAAAAAAGAAAGCCATACCCTGAAAACTAACTCCACTATCAAGCACAATGTGCAGTGAAAGAACAGCTATTTTGATACTGAAAATGAGCAGACGCTCATTTTAAAATAGACTCATCTTACAACTAGTTTTCAAAATGACTTCCATCTCTGTTGGCAAGAGCACGAAGCTTTGCTACAGCTCAGCAGGAGAAAAGTATATTCCAAATAAGTAGTCCAAACTATCTGGAGCAGAAATAATTTTTTATGGACTGACATTAGCCTGCGATGGCAGAGGGAATCCTGGAAATACATAGGAATTGAAGAAACCCCAGTGCTTCCATTTAAAAGAAATGTCTCCAGTTTTCAACTTCATTCAATCTCTCTTTGATGTGTGTGTGCATCTCCCTAGGCTCAAATAGCATCCATTACAGAACTGACCTGCTATAAAACCACGAGAGCATAAAAGACCTACAGAAAACAGTATATTTTCCATTCTGCTGCAATACAAATTAATTTGACGAACAGAGAAAGAGGTTCCATCATTTTTTTTAAATGATCATTTATTCATATGGTTCAGAAGATTCTTTTCCTGTGAATTTTTCATGGTGGCATTTGCAAGAGATACTTGCTAAGTGAAGATGACGATCATGCAGTCAACATACCAATCCGGGATTTGAAGATTATCTTATCCCTGGCTCTGTACAAAATTCTTGTGTGGCCTAGATAAGTCAATTAACAACTGTTTCCCATCTTCCCCATTGCTGCCTTGGGGGGCTACCTGCTCTACCTCACTGACTGTAAAGGTACTTCTTGGAGGAGCCATGGAATATAACTGGTATGGATATGCAATATTAAGTACAGAACATTAATTTAAAAATTTAACTTCAGAAGACAAGGAGCTGATACTTTGGTACACAAAACATTACCACTGAGGATCTGTATGTACGATTTGTGAAAGAAGAGAATAGGCTCCCTTCTATGAAGTGTACACCTTTCCACTTATCTTCATTTTATTCCAGGAAAAGCCATGGGCATGTCTTAGGCTCAGCTCCTGAATTAACCTCTCAAGTTTCTTCTCTCAAAACCCTGCTTAAAACCTATGATTTCTACAGGAGTGTTTATTACACTGTTTTTTACCTCTTCAGCCTTAACCTAGCAAATGTATTGGATACAGTGTCAGCTAGTCACCTGTATTGTAAGACCCCTTCTACAGCACAATCTTGTCCTGGATGCTGCTACAAATATGGCTCCACAGTACAGTCATGCATGGCCAGAAAAACGCAGCGACATATGAACCATCAAGTCACATAAGAACCAACAAGCAAAGGCTTAAAAGACTTGGAGCTCAGAAAGGCTCAACTCTCATCTTGTTTACATTGCAATAGTCTCCTATGAGTGGTTACACTTTTTTTTTTTTTTTTTTTTTTTTTTTTTTACACAGAAGAATAGTTCTGATGAGAATCCAGATCTTTCTTTCAGATGAACATGAAGGTCAGGGTACACCAACCAGAAGCATGAACTCTACTGTCCACCTACCCACATAGAGGACGCCTTCTTTCGTCTTTCCTGCTGCTTCTGCTACACCCTGCTTGGTTTTTTCTGCTGCTGCTACGACTCCCTCCTTCGCCTTGTTAAGTCCTTTCATGAACACATCCATGGCTGAAGAATTTCTTCACACAATGCTAGAAAAAAGAGAGTACACTCTGAATAACAGTTTTTCAGCTTTCTTTTTTTTTCTCAGAAAAGAAAGACTTCATTCAAACTGATTAACACATCCATTATTTTAGAATATTATTTATATCCATATACTATGTAGCTTTGATCTACATCTCTATTAAAATTTAGCAATACACAAACCATGTTGCATTCAGTATTTCAAATAAACAGTTAAATAAATAGAAAACCAAGGAGTACAGTTACACAAATCACCTTTATGTTTTCTCACATGCTGCCATATATAGCAAGTCAAACAGCACTGCAAGAATGGTCCAAGAAAGGCTTAGGAGTTTCCACAGAAACCTACCGTGGGGTTGCTGATAACATAGTGCTGGTTGGATGATGGATTCATTGGTATAAGTCCTTTCCTTGCCTACCACCATTTCATCCAAAGGACAGTTCTGTGCATGTACAGACTGCAAGATTTAGTCCTGTGATTTGGTGATACTCCATCTCATCCAGAGACCAACTTAAACACGATCAACTTTAAAAACACCCCTTCTAAATGACAAATGTTAATTTGCTATTGTTAAAAGAACCTTCTGCCATAACCCAAAAGGACTGGAGCAAATACAAAATGCTGCTTTTCCAGTAGCCCAGCAGATTGTGCACTGTCCATATCACTCTTCTAGAAACTGAGTTTCCCCAAATGGATTCTCCACTTGTATCAGGACTGAGAAAGATTTTACTAAAAAGCAGAAGCAGGAATACACAATTTTAACAGTGCTGCACTAAAGCTAGCAAGGGAGTTCTGCAGCAGGTATACAAGCCAGGACTGCATTTAAACTACTAGCTAATTAATAGTAATTAAAACCAACAAGTCAGGGTTCCTTCAATGAATCTATTACCAATAATCCTTTCTCTCCTTCCACCGACACAGAAAGATGTGGTGCCTGCTATTTCCTTTCCTTTGCCGGAGGCCAAGTAGGAGGAATGGATGTCTAGGAAGGCATCTGTGCTGCCGCAGCTTTCTACTAACTTGTGACGAGCATTTGAAGAAGGGCAGGATTTGTGCTCCAGGCACACTGCCCACGCTACCTGTCCCCCTGGGGCTGTGGGGCGCCTTGTGCACACACGTTTGGGGGCAGGCAGCTCCCAGCTCCGCCGACACTGAGGGATCCCCGGGACGATCCCCGGGGCAGCGCCGCGGCCAGGTGCGGGGACACCTGGGGGCAGCAAGGAGAGAAGATATCTATACATAACTATATATCCCTAAGTAAATCAAATAACGGGCACCTGTGGAAGGAATGAGGGAGAGGGCAGGGCGTCGCGACCATATATATGTATATAAATATATAGCTGCCTACCGAGGGGGAGGCAGGGCGACGTGACCAGATGGGCACCCAGAGGCTCCGGCTGACCCGCCGTCGGCACAAGGTGGCCACAGCGCCCGGCTTCCCTCCCTCCCCCGTGGCCAAAGGATAAACGTGCATGGGATTCAAGGATTCGTGTTCAAGGTTAAATGTATATATGCATGTCCACGTACACACACCTATATGCATGCGCGCACACCTCGTACCCACGCACACCTATGGCTGCCCAGCCACAAAAGCCCAGCTCCAGGCACTACCGAGAGGGAAGAGCGATGTAGGGGCGAAGGAAAGGCTCCGCTCGCTCGCTCCCTCCCCGACCCAACCCAACCCGACCCAGCCCTGCCCTGCCCCTGGGCGCCCTCCCCGCCGCTTACCGCCGGGCTCCACCGCCGCCGGCTCCGGGCCGCTGCGAGGAGGCTGTGGGCGGGGGGAAAAGGAGGAGGAGGAGGTGGTGAAGGAGGAGGATGATGATGATGAGGAGGAGGAGAAGAGCGATGCGCTGAGAGGGCCCCTTCTCAGCACATCCCCGGGGCGGGGGAGCGCGGGCTGGGTCTCCTGGCGCCGCCCCGACGGCAGCGCAGCGGGGAGCGAGTGTGAGGGAGAGGCAGGGCGAGGAGAGGAGAGGAGAGGAGGGAGGATGCGCCGCGGGGAGGCAGGCAGGGAGCGGGAAGGAGGAGCGGAGGAAGGTAGGGAGGATCCCCCCCGCCTTCCCCCTGCCTCCAGCCCCGGCTGAACGAGGGTTGCCGGGGGGCGCGATGAGGTGGAAGCCCCCGTCCGGGCTCCGCAGACCGCGGGGGGCACGGGAGCAAAAGGGGGCGAGCAGGCATCTCGCCCTCTCCCCCCGCTCTTTCCAAAAGCAGGAGCTCCGCGAGCTGTTGATGGCGATTTCAGCAGCACAGCCATGTTTCGCTTCACCGACGGCTCAGGAAATTTTCTTCAATCTCTTAGTTACTTTTTCTTTCCCTTCCAAATCATCACGCCTAAACGTCTCGAGTTAAATGATGCTGTTCTCTCAAGATTTATGATCCCGGTGCATTTTTAAGGATGGCAGGAGATGGTCTTGCGAGTGTAATGTGTGTTAACACTACCACACACACTAAATAATTAACTCTACATCCCAGACCAGGAAGAGAAACCCAACCTTACTCCTGTCAGATCCCTGCACCTCTCCTAACATCCTCCACCTCTCCATCCATCCTCTTAGCCCCAGGGCCACTGCTACTCCTTCCTCTCTGGATACCCTGAAGTCACTTTTCCTCCAGAGAGGGAAAGCTGTCAGACTTCTCTATTTTGGTTTCAGAATTTAGTCACAAAAAGCCAAGATCAGTAGGAGACAAGGTATCAGAACAGATGGACTTTCAGCTTCAGTACATCAGTTAGTGTGCTGTATAAAATCCTGCAAGACCTGGAGAAACATTTTTTTGTTTTTTTTTTTGTTTTTTTTTATTGCACTCCAAAAGAGAAACAGAATATGGTATAGATGAGACACAAGGATGGGAGTTGCATGGAATATCTTCCATCCATCATCCTGTGCAGGCAGCTGATGAGCCCCTGGTTTTATTTCCATTCTGAACACGTAGTGCAGAGTTTTCAGCCTTCCAGGTTTCTTTATAAGCCTTAATATTTCTCTACTGCTTGGTAAAATTTCTTGTTTCACCCCACTACTAGTTTTAATCAAACAAGCATTTGGCAATATATTTTAATTCGTTGTGTAAGGAGATGCTGACAGAATACAAATCATTCCTTTGTAATTCTGCCCTCCAGAAATGCCTTAAAATTTATCCAGGAAGTGCATTGCATAAGGTGCCTCATCGCATTCATCATGTGCAGCACATTCACACTTATTAGTGCAACAACTAGATTGGGTTATTTCCCTCCAGTTTTGGGGAAGGAACACAAGTATAGTTTTAGACAGTAAATCCAAGTAAATCAAAATCATACACTTTCTGCATGGAGGCAATGATTTTTCTTTCCATATGTGACAAAAGCATGCAGGGAATTTTATTTAATGCCAATTAACACTTATCTTGTTTTTAATACTGGGTTCAATAATTAAAAGACAACATTAACAGTAGTGTTTATTTCCCTCATTCCTTCTTTCCCCTCTCCTTCCTCCACACTAAGTTGGGTCCCTCTAATAAGCTCAGGACACTTGCTGGAGTCAAAGAACTGTGATTCCTTTTTGCTATACTATTTCCTCATTCAACTTCTATGGCCCTTTGGCTCACCCTTGCATTTAGGGGGCAGAAAAAGAAGAGCAACTCCCATTTGAGATGATCTCCTATGGTAACAGACTTACCTCAGGTTCTCTCTCTTGTTCTGCCACTAAAATAATAAAGTATTAACTATCAAAGCCTTATTACAATAGGATTTTCTAGCTGTATTGCAGAAAGCTCAAACATGCTGTAATAGACATTGTGCTACATCTCACCCTTTAGAATCATAGAATCACTTCAATTGAAAAAGACTTCTAAGATCATAAAACCCTTCCAACCTAAGCTGTTCTATGATTCTGTGATTCCATTCAGAACTCTTTAGACCCAGTCACGTAGACAGTTCTTTATCCACCAAAGCATATGCCCAACCAGCCCATGAGCAGTTTCTCCAGAGGAATGCTTATGGGAAATGGTATTAAAAGCTTTACTAAAGTCTAAGTAGATAATATCCACAGCCTTTCTCTCATCCACAAGTCATCACCTTGTCATAGAAGGTCAGGTTCCTCAAGCAAGACCTGCCTTTTGTCAAACCCATGCTGACTGGGCCTGATCTTCTGGTTGACCTGTAGGTGCTGTATGATGGCACTCAAGATGATCTGCTTCATAACCTTCCCTAGCACCAAAGTCAGACTTAAAAATCTGTAGATTCCAACATCCTCTTTCTGGCCCTTCTTATATATAGGAGTCACATTTGCTAGCAGCCAGTCAGCTGGGACCTCACCCGATGGCCAGGACTGCTAATTAATGTCGTAAAGCAGGTTGGTGAGCACTTCTGTCAGCCTCTTCATTGCCCTTGGGTGAATCCCACCTGTCTCCGTATACTTGCATATCACTAAGGCTTCATTCTGCTCTCTGTCCCCATCTATCAAGCCACAGAGCTGGGTACCTAGAGAACAACTGCTCTTGCTGCTGAAGACTGAGGCAGAAAAGCTTCACACTTGGTAGAAAGCCAGCTTCTAAAAACAGATCCAGAGATGTTAGAAGAGCTCCAGGTTCGCTTAGATTTACTCAGTGTACTACCTTTTATTGTCAGCAGGTCTAGCAATTCATATGGCTTAGGGAAAGCCAGTCAATCAAGCATTCTCTACTTACTACTGAAGCCAGGAAACTTAGATGAATTAGTATGCCCTTATAAAGAGTGAATATTGCGCTCCTTATGTGAGTATTATCCAAGTTTAAAGCACCTTTCTGTTTCTCTAGCATTCAGAGGTTCTTTTTTTCCCATTGATTTATTAGAGGGAGGCACGATGCTCTACTGTTTGACAAAGTAACAGCTTGTGGGTTAATAAAATCATGCAGCTAGATTATAGAGGGCTAGATACAAGAGGTATCAGTTTCCAGAGCAGAAATAAAATTTAAAAATTCAGCTGTAGTGCTCAAAAAAGGCAGCTGTTAAGTTCTAGATCAGAGAGTGAGAGGCAGAGAAGGTAAAAAAAAAATAAATAAATCTGAAATTCATTCTGAAAATGGGTGGGACTTAGTGGAAAACAGAATTAACTATGGTAGGGAATTAGCACTGTATCTCCAAGGTAATACCTATTTAAATCACATTGTCTACAACAGCTGGCTTTTTTAGGTTGTCTCCTCAGCGCTATTACTATAACAATAAGTTTTCCCCTGAAGCCTTTCCTGTCTGAAGAGAGGATTGTAGCAACCAGATTGCCCACTGATCACATTTAAAGCAAATCTTTATTTAATGGCACTATTTACTTTGCATGAACATTTAGAGTAAAAATCAATTAAGTTGTAATAAAAGTTCCTTCAATCAATCTTGCATTGTGAGCTAACTTCTTGGTTTACCTGCTAGTGATCAAGTAAATCTACTTCATCACTATGAAAAGAACAGTTACAGAATTATTGACAACTGACTGATATTGCAGAGTAAAATTTATCAGAATTTGCTCTGTTTAGGTAGAAAAAATTAGAATGTAAAACTCTTCACACAGAAACACTGGAAGATGTCCCCCTTGAAGACTATATATTAAACTGAAAGCACTGTCCTGTTTATTCAAAGTGACTCACAAATGTTCCCTGTTGCCACAGAACTAGTATATGATGTTACTCAGCAGAGGGGTACTTTGAAAACCTGAAAAGCTGCAATATGAAAGGAAGCTGTCCTGGTCTACATAACACTGCAAAATGAGAGAAAATGGGCAGGCTATTCACAGGTGACATTTATTATTCCACTGCAGGGTGTTTTTTTTTAATGGTTGCACATAATATGAAAACTGCCTTAATTTCACAAATTCATTAACTGTGTAAAAATGGGATTTTTATGCAAATGTATTTCAGTCTTAGGTTTCTTACAGGACAGCTTACTATCTGTATTGTTTTAAACTCCACTGAAAGTTCAGACCATTTTCATACTCTTACATCACACCGTTTGCATTTCTGTACACGCTCACGTCCCTGTGTGGGACATTGCTGTTCTTGACCATGCTGTATGTGCATGAGCAATTTTTTGAGAACTCAGAAACATGTTCAATTTCAAAAAAAAGTTGAGTACGACCTCTCATTTGCTTACAAGTGAGTCTGAGTCTTGGTACATCATTTTCTTAATACTTAGCATGCTCCGGGGTGCTTTGATTGTCAGTGCAGGTGGATTCATTAGAGATCTAACCAAGAAGAAGATCTCTGCCTGGGCACAGAAAGCCTAGAAGGAGGGGTTTTTCCCTATGTCTTAACACTTGAACAAATTTCACTGGAACGAAAAGCATGTCTGAAAAATAAATAAATACCCACACATGTATCCCAGCTGTGATTGCTAACCCTCAAATTCCTTCTTTCAAACATGAACAGTATAAACATTCTCAAAACAAAATTTCATAGGTAAAACATAAGATTTGTCCCCATCATCTCAGGCTTAGATCAGCCATTTTAAGCAATTACTTATTATTGTGCACATGTATATTTATATATATAAAAGAGAGAGGGAATATATATAAAGTGCATAAATTAGAATCTTTCAATTGAGACTGATAAACGTACAAAAACACCATGTTGGGTGTATGTATACACATATGTGTGTGTGAGTAGGTATGTATGTATACGTATATATATTTAAAGAAGGCAGAGATGACCAAAGGTGACTCTCTGACCTAATAAATATCAGCTCAAATACACAATCCTGACCTATCTTTAGCCAATGGAAAGAGGGGCCTCATAGCTTTATACCATCTCTGTTACACGCAAAGTCTGCTAGACCTTCACCTACTTTACTTGCAGTCAAGGTTGAAGTTACAGAGATACCACATTTTGCATAAGCAGTGGTAACGTTTTGTAAATTAATGAATTTATCTGGGCTAGAAACTCAGTGCATAAGAGGAAAGCAACCCTGTTTGTACCACCTGTGACCTTAGGTGAAGCTCTACTATGAAAAGCATCAGCTCAAGTGCCAAGGAGGCCAT